TATCTTGAGCGAAAGATCAACTTTTGTTTATCGAATCAACACTACAGACGAACAGACCCTGCTAATTCTAACCTCTGGTAACTGTTCAATACGGCTAAGTTGATATGATTACGATTAATAAAGTGTCCAAATGGTTACCTAATAAATATGCAAGTATGGTTCATTGATTAAAGTATTCCAATTTTAATCAATCGGTCTTGGGCATCAATCGTGATTCACTTACACACAGATTACACACAGCCCTACAAGAATTCTACTACACTTAGTTAATTACTATACTGTATCAGTGTTTATCAACAGAAATATACAAAGTAACGCTAAATGTCCCATGAAGATTTCATTCTTTTTTAAACTTATTTGTGTAGTGAAGTATACAACTAAATCATCTAGATGATTCTCACTTTTTCCCATACTTCCGATACTTGGATGATTTGATATATTGTAGTTTTGCGAAAAGCAGTTACAATAACTCACTTATCAATCCACAAAGGTATTTACAAACATGTATAGCGTATAAACATTAATTTCAACGAGTTACCCTACTGAAGATGAATAATTTTAAAGATGATAAATTAGTTTCACTACTTTACATATTCACCTACTTCGGGTGACAAAAAATTAAAGTTGCAGACTATTTTTTCAGCTCCAAATGTAATTTAAATTTCCTTTTTTTGACAGAACTTACAGTTATATTCTGTGGACTACGAAATTTGACAATACGCAATGATATTGTATAAGATTAATTCACAAAATAAAGAATTTTAAGTATTTTACAGCAAGCGCTCTACTAAATTTTCAAATAGCTTCGTAAATGACGAACGATCAGTCTGGTTGTTTCAACAAAGAAACCGCATTTGCAGTCTCCCGTAGCCAACTGAAACAAATTTATCTGCACTGTTTCGTCCTAGACAGAGATTTTCCAATAGTATGTGAAAACCTTAGTTCCGGATTCGTGAGCTGGGTGTACCCACCTCTTAGTTAGCGACATCACTCCCATTGAGACTAAGACCCACCACACAGCTCCAAATGCTGTAGAGTTATCCATCAGGCTGCTGTATAACAACAAACAGTCTTTTTGCGATGCGTGCAATCAGATGTTATAAACTTTAGTTTCTTATTATTGGTTAGACTGGACTGATTGGTCAGACTGACGTTTCTGTTTTTGACTATGATACTCCTGACTGCTAACCTCACATTGCTTTCCTTGGACCCGACTGAACAAGATGATACTATTCGCTGAACCTTAACCACTCCTCTTAATGACATGTAAATTTCAATATTACACAGCAACCGTCTCAGGTTTGTGTAGTCAAAACCACAGAGTTAACAATATTTCAAGTTTGCTTAGTCAGAAATGAGGCAGTTCTGAGCAAGTTACCCAGTATTATTTAGTTGGATGGCACAACAACTTAAGCAGACTTCTGAAAAACGGAGAGTATTGCCAAACTTCATATTAAATTGGCTGAGTATATATGCAAATAATTTGGTTGTTAGCTGTTTATTTCCAGTCTCTATTAGGATAAACATGATCTATTTACCGTTTTGTCAGTTATTAGTATCAACATCAATTTGAAGAGCAGTTTATATTCTTTCATCAGCATCTTCCTCAGTCTCCTGAACAAGGCTATAAGTTATGTTTGGTTCTCATTACTTTGTCTTCCATTCTGCTACCTTGAATCTTGATCTGTTTATATGACGTGCAATAACTTGGATTCATGTGCAGTACTGACAAGTTCCATAATGATATTCACTAACAAAATAATTTAAGTCAAATCAGCTACGCGAGAAAACGATGAGATTTGTAGATGGCTAAGGGTTCAGAAAAACAACTCGCCAATTGAAAAAGAAACGCTGGAGAATAATATTGGATTTCCTCCTTGAATCAAATAATAAATGCTCTTGCATTCTTCAAATAATAAATTACAATGAGTGAGAAGTTTTCTGTTTCTTTATCATCCAGCTAAAACCGTAAGTAGATAGCAAACCGCTGTGAATGGCTCAGAAATAAACTAACTTACTAAAATTAATAAACCTCCTAATCAGTAACTAATGAAACGGCAATTTTTGAATGATTTCTGCTTAACGACAGCTGTTTGTGACGAGCTGTGAGCACATGGACATACTCTGACTGGACCGATGAAAAAACCTTAGAAGGTTTGAATTTCGCCGCCGATGATGATTCATGTCTAATACCCTGTCGCACAAACTCGATGATCTACAGACAAAAATCAACACGTTGACAGAAGAGACAGGGCAGCGAGGACAGCACTTCAAGTGAACATGGAGAAGACAGAGGTGATGAAGATACCCAACCAACAATAACATCAACAACAAGCACCATCCACCATGGATGGGAGAAACATGAAGAGAGTTGTCCCCTCCACCTACCTAGGCAAGGCAGCGTCAGTTCAAATACAGATGGTGGCGTCACAGATGAGGATGTCAAGTCAGCCAGGATCGGAGAGACAGCATGACAGGCCTTCACCAATCTGAAATCAGTGTGAAGACCTACTGCACTACACTACACCACACTCAGCATAAAGCATGAACAACATCCGAATTTTCAACACTTATGTCAGTCAAGTGGGTCAGTGCTTCTGTGTGATGGATGAGAGACCTGGTGGTGTGGTACGACAAACATTTCCAACAAACTACAGGCATTGATCAACAGCTGTCGCCTACGGTCACTCGATACTGACACCGAAGATCAGATAGATTGGCAGAATAATAAGAATAAACACCAAGGAACTCACTATGGCTGGCTGGCTGGCTGGTTGACTGGCTGACTGCTGGCTGGCTGGCTGGCTGGCTGGCTGGCTGGCTGGCTGGCTGGCTGGCTGGCTGGCTGGCTGGCTGGCTGGCTGGCTGGCTGGCTGGCTGGCTGGCTGGCTGGCTGGCTGGCTGGCTGGCTGGCTGGCTGGCTGGCTGGCTGGCTGGCTGGCTGGCTGGCTGGCTGGCTGGCTGGCTGGCTGGCTGGCTGGCTGGCTTGCAACCAACCAACCAGGAAGCCATCAACCAACAAATATACAGAGTGAAGTGGAGATAATAAAGTAGCAGTTGTTGCGTCGAATGTAGTATGAAGTTGCATTCTTAATAATGGCCATTTATCTTATCCAACGAATTCACCAGAATGAAGTCAATTGTGGACATTCTGTCTTCTGCTTTCGGAAATTATTCTTCGCTATTAACTGAACTTTATACCTTGTCTAATAGTATTTCTGCATAAATCGAGAAATACACTTTTTTGAGAATCATCCTATACATCTAGATGAAAATGTACACTTATCCAATGAACCTATGTAAGCATTTGTTCTAAATAATCACTTCTGTTGGATCCAAGTATACCTCATTAGGCCTTTCGATAGGCAATTAGACAGAATACTGGAGAATGAAATCTACTTTTCGACAAACCATTTTTTACGCACGGGTATTTTAGGCTTATTAACTAAACTAACCAGTCGTTTTCAGTGAAATTGATCTTATACAAAATTGAAAAGGATGGAACAGCTGTTTATTCGTGTCTTCATGACCTAGCATAAAGTGGGTATTTGTGTGGTTTATTTGTTTGAGAAAAGAGAAGCAGATAAATATTTTTGTTTGTATACATTTACCGAGTATATTGGTTGTCAAATATTTTATACTTAAGTCAGTTTATTTTTCAAAAGCTTCTGATGTCCACACAGAAAAATAGCTTAATTTTGTGATTTCTAATTTTCCAAACGAATACAATAAAATACTGTTGACGAATCAAGTGAAGTTACGTAATGTACTTTCTGATGAACAAAAGAATTACCTCAGTAAAATCTTGTGGCTTCAAATAATCCAACCGATAGGCATTTTTTCTCTTTGTGAGGGTCTAAATATTTGGCGAAGAATCACTAACTGCCAAAAAACATTTTTGTAAATGAACAGTTTTTGTTGTAGCCAGTGATAATTGACGTTGTAAAATCACTCCAGATAATGATTAAAAATATGCAACCTAGATAATAATAAAATGTTTTGTGATTCGTTTAAATTGGTCACTGCTTCTTCCTGTTAAGGATAACTAGTAGCCTACTTCATATGACATCATACTGTTACGTAGTAACATACGCTTAAAAGGAGTTGTACTATAGAGAGGCGGTCAACAGATGTTAAACTCCAAGTGTTCTACCCTTTCCTTTATTTGGATGAAAATAACAAACCCAGACATTTTTGATGGACATTAAAATACAGTAAATTTGAATATGTGAGAATCTGGTATGAGAAATCTGACATGCGAAAAGGCAATACTAATTCTACGTACACTCTTTTTAAAGCCCTCCAACATCCTTTCGCAGTAAGATGAGTTATATTTACCCCTTGTAACTTCACTTATTCAATTAAATTAATTCCATCTTCTCGGATCGTTAGTCATTCAGAGAACAATGATGTGTAGAATACTAGATACTTCATGGTTAGTGTCCAAGAATTTATTATGAATGTCATATTTCATTGATGAAATTTAGTCTGTTGTTAAGAGAATGTAAACTAGTGTACACTGAACTAAATTTCGTATATCATGCGTATAATCTTATACTGATACTAGGTGACGATCGAAGGTGAAAAGAAGATTAAGGCTTGGCAGGATTCAAACCAGAGACCACCGAGTTCCCGGTCTGGTGCTCAACCACTAGGACCGTAAGACCCTACTGCTAACCAGGATCTTAGTTCACTTCATTCACCAAGGGTTTTTCCCGACTGTCATGTGAATTCATGACGCCTTTCTATAGTTTGATTATCCTGGCTATCGAGCCGGGAATTCTCATCCCAATTCAAATCTACCTGATAAATGTATCTCATACTGACTATCAAAACCTTTATCTTTGTATTTGACTACTGTATTCAGATAGATAATAAGATCAAGTCACAACCAATTTATCTCCGCTTTTGAACTGTAACCCAGAATCGTTAAATTAACTGATGTTCATCAAATTCTAACAATGACATTAACTAATAAATACTTCTTATTCTTTCGGTAGATAAAAAAGTCAAATGCTATCGGTGTACAGATTGTCCGAATCCATTTGAAAAGGAACTGGTGACTGAATTGGCCAATTGCAACTACTGTCGAGTAAGTTGGCTATATGTATATTCTCTGTAATTCAGTGAAAACGCTTATGCATACCTGAGTTTTGACTTTATCATTTGTTATTATTTTTATCATTATTACTTTGAAGACAAACGAACTTACTTCTGCATGAACTAAAAACAAGAATGAGTAAAACGTCAGTCAGATTACTTCCGGTTCATATATTTTGATAAATAAGAGTTGGCTGCAGAAAAGTACGATGCCTTTGCTTTGAAGTGTTCATTACTCTTGATAATTTGTTATTGCTTATTCAGTAGACCTTCAGTGGTTCCGCTTAAATGTCCAGAATTTAGTTACTCTGTCATCAAATATACTTCAACAAATGCATACAGAATAACCAGTTTAGGCGGAGTATAAAATATGTATATAATACAGGTGGTAAATAACTAAGAAATGAAATTTTCGTTAGGGTATTTAATGGAGAACTAAGCTTATTCAGTTCTTTTTTAAAGTGATTGGCCAAAACACAACTTATCGGGTTAGGTAATGAACATGTAAATACCTGTAAAACTTCTTGTTTGGTATTAGTAAAACAGTCGAGGTCAACAGGTCGCACAGATGCATCATCCAATCCTAGGGAACTACTCCACCCCCTCTACTGAGTGAAGACATGGATCATTCATTTAGTACCCTGACTTTCAAGCAGTGGTTCTCAGGTGCTAATCTCAGTCCCTCTGCTTCAGCCAGGACAACCAGATATTATCATGGGCCATTACACACTAAGTATGAATCACCACATTATGCACGAACCTGTACCACAATGAATCGCATTCTTACTGCATTTCCCTTATCGTCTTGCAAAATTTCGTATGACTTTTAGCAATAGCTCATGATGTTATTCTCATTTTGCTGCCTTCCATTTTGTTGACTTTCCTACCAACACACGTGTGAAGCTATTTTTGTCTGTTTAACATAACCAACAGATTCTTCTGCTAGATTCAATTCAGAATACACCGAAGCGAATAGCTGAAGTTATTTCCATGACAGGTATCAGCGGTGAAACAGATGCAACTGGTGAAGTAGTTTTCACTATCTCACCTGTAAAGTGTATGAAATAATGCTATAATTAATATGATTTTCAGTTTAGGGTTTGTGGGGATTTATTGATTTCAACTTGGTATTCATCATTGACTGACATCACTTAGAGGATCATTGAGAACCTTGGAGCACTGGACAGCTGCTTCGTCCTAGTACGGGACTCCTCAGCAGTGCGCAACCACGACCCCAAACCACCAGGAATTGAACCAGCCACCTTCAGGTTGCGTGGTCAGCACGTTACCAATGGCCCACTGGGTTGGAGTCCACTTGTACATATTTCCAACTTCTATCAGTTCACGATGTGGAGCGACCATTTCCCAAAATCATCGTTGAGTAACTGTCCTCACGACTATCAGGCTAGCCCCATTGGTCACGACTTCTCATTGGAACATCGGAAACCACCTCTCGAAACCAATCACTAATGAGCACTAGATTAATTCAGTTTAGGGTTTGTAGGGACTCAGGGATTTTTCAAGTTGGTATTCAACATGGATCATTGGACTCCGACTCAGCTGCCCAATGATAACGTTTTTGTCACGGAACCTGAAAGTTCTGGGTTGGATCCACGATGGGGCGGTGTAATGGTTGCACGCTGCTGAGAAGTCCAATATTAAGACGAAACAGCTAGCCGGCGCTCATAAGTTTCCGGTATTCCTCCAAATGATGTCAGCGCATGATGAATACCAACTTGTGACATGACTTTACTTTAGAAGTTGCTTTAGAAAGTAGTGCATCTGAAATGAACGCTGAAGCTACCCAACTACACGCATAGAATCGTGAGCATTTTTCACATAATCATATCTCAGTCTTGCTTGAATATCTTTAACCTTCATAAACACAGTTAGTGATTTAGACACTAACCACTTGTCTGATTGGTGTATACCATTAATTATCTTCAAGAAATGCAGAAAATGCAGATCTAAATAGTGTTGGCGAAACATTCCATATGGCTTACATTATTGTTTCTCTCTTAACACGTGTTCATCAAAAGTAAAATCCAAATTAATGGTTTATCATTAGTATACAGCATGCTTTGATAATAATAAAGCTATATAGTTTGTAACATAGGATAGACAAAATATATTTAGTCAACAGCATTGTAAATGGCAGTAATTTGGAAACAGCTTCAACATTACGGTTTTAGTGCCACAAACCTTTATCAACCTATATGCTATATGATGTTACATGTCAAGTGGAAAGCTCAGTAATACCTCTGAAGTGAAGACAAGAATAATACAAGGCTACAACCTACTCTCACCGATGGTCTTCCTGATTCTGGTCGACTGGAATCTACTGGATCATGCAACAAACCGTGAGGAGCTGTGAGCAGATAGACATACGCTGACTGGACCGATGAAAAAACCTTAGAAGGTTTGAGTTCCGCCGCCGATGATGATTCATGTCTAATACCCTGTCGCACAAACTCGATGATCTACAGACAAAAATCAACACGTTGACAGAAGAGACAGGGCAGCGAGGACAGCACTTCAAGTGAACATGGAGAAGACAGAGGTGATGAAGATACCCAACCAACAATAACATCAACAACAAGCACCATCCACCATGGATGGGAGAAACATGAAGAGAGTTGTCCCCTCCACCTACCTAGGCAAGGCAGCGTCAGTTCAAATACAGATGGTGGCGTCACAGATGAGGATGTCAAGTCAGCCAGGATCGGAGAGACAGCATGACAGGCCTTCACCAATCTGAAATCAGTGTGAAGACCTACTGCACTACACTACACCACACTCAGCATAAAGCATGAACAACATCCGAATTTTCAACACTTATGTCAGTCAAGTGGGTCAGTGCTTCTGTGTGATGGATGAGAGACCTGGTGGTGTGGTACGACAAACATTTCCAACAAACTACAGGCATTGATCAACAGCTGTCGCCTACGGTCACTCGATACTGACACCGAAGATCAGATAGATTGGCAGAATAATAAGAATAAACACCAAGGAACTCACTATGGCTGGCTGGCTGGCTGGCTGACTGGCTGACTGGCTGGCTGGCTGGCTGGCTGGCTGGCTGGCTGGCTGGCTGGCTGGCTGGCTGGCTGGCTGGCTGGCTGGCTGGCTGGCTGGCTGGCTGGCTGGCTGGCTTGCAACCAACCAACCAGGAAGCCATCAACCAACAAATATACGGAGTGAAGTGGAAATGGTTTGGATTAGGCGTGCATTGAGAGGACCGACTGGGGACATCACGCGTCAGGCCAGTCCAAGCCGGGCCAGACGAGACCAGGCCTTCGAGTGGAAGCCAAGTGGGAAACGATGAGTTGGGTGTGCGAGGTGAGGGTGGCATGGAGGAGATCGTGTGGGAGAGAAGGGAAAGCTTGTGGGTATTGGTTGAGCCGGGTTGGAAAGACTGTAGAGAAGAGAGTGAAATGGTGACGTGTTACTGAAGCGCAATGTTCCATTAGAAACCCAAATGACAAATTATAATATTTGTGAATCCCTTAATGCAGACACACGGAAGGAGAGGATGGAAAATGTTAAAATGTTTTTTGGTACAATAGAACTATCTATAAAAATTGTACAATGGGACCAACTAAAGTGTAAGGGAAAAGGAATTTCTCACCAACTTACATGTTATACTAGTGAAGATCTGCTCGTCTGATGTTACTGGCTGAAAGCTTAAACTGTTTGAAAATTTTCTTCATCAATAACTATCCAAATACAAAGAAATACAGATTTCTGATCAGAATTGTTTGTAATGTTGAGGTGAAATAACTCAACGTGGTAGACAGTGTAATCTTTTATGTACTAAATTTACGTTTTCATGGAGTATGACACTATTCACTTGTCAGGCAGACATAAGTAGGTGATGCGGTTTCCTACCCCGAACCTATTGCTTGCAGATCAAGCTTTCAAGTTAGTGAAGCACGTCTCCACGATTTTACAACATACGGATGCACAACACACGATTGTAACTGCTTTATGATCTGAAATATAGCTGAGCACAGTTTGAAACAATACATTAACTTAGTTTCTAATTCCCGTTTCACTGGACACCCTAAATCCAGGTTCCTGTTAGTTGGTATTCAGTTGTACGTGAATATTTGAAGAAAATCTCATCTCCGAAGAAGTATCTATATGTAACTGTGGGATCCACCCTCTGAGCGATCCAGGTCATGACAGACTTTCAAATAATCCTGCAGTGTTTAAGATTATTTATACTGTTTTGTTTCCCAATGACATACAAAGGACAGCTAATAGAAAAATGGGCAAACCAACATAGAAAACGAACAATAAAAATTTCTTATGTTTACAAAATCCGAAACAACTTTTACCGCTTTTGAAAGTATCTGCGATCTTATGTTTTGAACAGTACTATGTTCTGAAAATGGTCACTATCTTACAACCGTCAGCATTTTGTTACCTTAAGTTCTATGTTTAATGAGATCGGAATGAGTCAGAATTTTAGTAGGTATCTTTTTTCTAGTTTTAAATGTGTGCGTGTATGGTTGCATAGTATTTGCTATTTGCCCAGGTAGCTATCACTTTAATTTGCTTAAAATGTTTAACTCATCCCCCAGTTGAGCAAAATGCCGGGTCTATAAAATGTATGCGAAATTTAATTTTAACTACCACAGATATGTACTTAGCTATAATCTACAGAGAAAGTTAGCTACGATCCTAAAGACACAAGGAGAAATGTAGTTTACTTCGAGTAAATCACTTGACTCAGTAATAAATCCTGTTTAGTAGAAAGTAGAATGTCTTCATAAAAGTGACTTCTCAACCACAACGAAGAAAATTAGGAAGAGCAAGTACCAGTTTCCATTGCACAAATTTTATTTCAATGGTCAAGTTAGGAATGACAATCCTTGTGTTTGCTTGATGACATTAATCCTTGTCAGATTGGAATGTGTAACCATATACTTTGTTGTGTTGTCAGTATGGAAAACAGAGATACACTGATGTGAATACAAAAAAACAACC